ATTCCACATTTATGAAATGGACAGAATAGGCAACTCTACAGAGACAGAAAATAGATTACTGTTTGTGATGGTTAATACTGAGTGTCAACTTGATTGGATTGAAGGATACGAAGTATTGATCCTGGGTGTGTCTGTGAGGGTGTTGCCAAAAAGATACTAAATTTGAGTCAGTGGGCTGGGAAAGGCAGATCCACCCTTAATCTCATGGACACAATCTAATCAGCCACCAGTGGATATAAAGCAGTCAGAAAAACATGGAAAGGAGAGACTAGCCTAGCCTCCCAGCGTACATCATTCTCCCTTGCTGGATACTTCCTGCCTTCGAACATCAGACCCCAAGTTCTTCAGTTTTGAGACTCGAACTGGCTCTCCTTGCTCCTCAGTTTGCAGACAGCGTATTGTGAGAACTTGTGATCATGTGAGTTAATACTTAATAAACTACATATATGTATATCCTATTAGTTCTGTCCCTCTAGAGAACCTAATACACCATTTTTCTATGGCTGAAGAATGAAAGGATTGAGATTGTTAATTCGTTGTGCAACGGAAGCTGTGAAGCCTTCAAATATGGAGAAAAAGCAATTCACCCATATTTATAAGCTACCTCCTGAATCCTTATCAAATTATTAATTGCATGTTTATCATTTTTGTGTAATCTTTTTCATTTTTAAATGGACTTTGGCAAGGTCTATGTTTTATACTTAGACTTACTTTTTTGTGAGGATTGAGGGATGATGGCTAATTGGTATGAGATTTCTCTTTAAAGTTAGAATATTATAAAATTAATAATGGCAATGAATGCACAATGCTAGGAGATACTAAAAGTTGTGGATTTGTACAGTTTAAATGAGTGAATTGTGTGATACATTATATGTAAATTATGTTTTAACAAAGTTGTTAACAAATTTATAGTTTACTGCATATTGAGCACTCACGATATATCAATCACTTCGCTGTGGAAAGGAGTCAGGGATGATGAAGTCCTGGAAGGAGAAGACACAAGGAAAGGGTTGATCTTTGGTCCAATAGTCCTTATGATATGGCTGGAGAATGCCAGATAGTTGGAAGTGGGTAGCAGGCATTTTCTTAGTAATCATGACCCCACAGGGGAAGAAAGGGGGAAGACATACTTTGTTTCTTATGCTTCATGTCCCAGGCCCACCTGGCTTGCTTTAATGTTCTTTTTGTCTCCTTTTTAACTATGAGTATTCTACATGTGATGCTGTAAAATGCTCGCATTTTAAATCAGCATGCTCATAAAACATTTTGATGACAACTGGAGTCTGGCTTTTGTGCTTATTTCCTGCTCCTCTTTTTCCCAAGCCTCAGTATTTCCTCTGGCTCCCATGCCACTGATTCCTCGTATGGACTTGTCGACACTTCAAATTATCTCCAGTTCCACCGCCTCCCATATATTGCTTAGCCAATGTATACACACTTAGTTCTCTTAATCTCCCTCATAAGTAAATTCCTCAGCCCCTTAATCACCCCCGCCACTCTTCTCTGAATCCTTTCCAATGTGTTGACATCTTTCTGGCTCAATGGTGCCCACAGCCATATGCCTTTGGCACTTGTTCCCCTTGGCCTCCCACCAGAAATGGAACTTGGCCGACGTCAGAACAGAGAGTAAGACATATTTATTTGATTTAGCTTCTGATTATGTTCGCGTCTTGGGATGATGGTTGATTACTAGTGATGGGGTTGGCCAAGCATTGGGATTCAGGGCACACTGGTTGTGGAGATGGTTCATGTGAGAAGAGCAATACCATGTAACTTGTGTTTCTCCCAGGAGTGGTCTCTTTCTAAAATAGATGAAATCGGGAATTTTGGAAAATGCTTATACCTTAGTTTAGCTTCCCAAAGATTGTTTGCTTTTATTTCTATAGCCTGAATTTAAAGTTACAGTACAACTTTTCATAGTCTAGAATTTTGGGGTTAGACAACCTTAAGATTTCAATAGGCAGGGGAAGTCTGTCACTGCAGAATCATCTGGGATATCAGCTTTGAATGTTACCCATCATTCCTAGGTTACAGATGCTTTATTTCATTTAATAGAAACTGTGAGAAATTAAAAGCTGGAAAAAATCAATTTATTGTATTTAAAAACCATCTTCTGGATCCCCACCTCAATACTGATTGTATGAACTTTAACTTTAGGAGAATCTTTCTATTTTTTAGATGTTGATGCCTAATAGTTTGTGGAGTCAGACTTACATTTCGGAATCTAGAAATATGATTTCTCTAATAATCAAGTAATACTCTAAAATTCTTCGAGAAAGAAAAAAATTTTGTAAATAAGATTTGTGGTAGAGTAACTGTAGCTTGTTTAATATATAAGAAGTCTCTTATAAGGTTAATTTATGCATTCAACCAATACCCCTTGAGGGCCTATAGTTTCCCTTGCACTGTGTTAGACACTGGGACCATGATATCTGTGAGATACATTGAGTATGAAATCACATATTATAAAAATATCCACAGATAACTACAAGAGAAATAAGGATGGAAAATTTTTCTTTGTCTTACAAAGACAATTATGCATATATTTTTCTTACATGCAGGATAAAGACACCCAGTGTCACTCCCAGTGGGTCATTGACAGTGGTCAGTGGCATGAGCTTTGATATGAAGGTTTGCATGATATCTAAATCAGTATGGAATGTATGTCTTCTTGGTATAATATTACACGATTATCACCACTGGCAAGTTAAATCCTATCTCTAAAAGTGACACCAAGAGAGCATATTGCATTTGCTCAAGTGGGATATATTAATCTTGCCAGTGAATAAGGCAGATGTTCAGTCTAGGGTTGGGGAAAGTAAGGAAAAAGAACTTGTTATTAGTGACAAACTTGTGTCAAATCTTGCTAGAAATGATGGAATGTAGGCAGATGGGCATTTCCATGAGTAGGAGATATGGAAAGATCTTTCAGCAGTCATCATAAAAACTGAAGTTGTGCATTAAAGCTATGGAAGGAAATCAATAAAGTAGTCAGCTACAGGGGATGCTACTGTCCCTTTCTCCTTTAAGAACAGATAATAGATGCTCAGAAGTCAGCAGCATGCCAACAGCAAACTGTGATCAGAGAGTAACTTCTTGAGCTGTTTGAATATAACTTCAGTATTCTGAGCTCTATCAAAAGGAACCCTTAATTAACCTGGAAATTGAGTTTCATTTCCTCTTCCTATGAGCCATCTCCTGTACTCATAAGTGTTGGATTTTTCTGTGGATGTGGAAGACCTCCTGGAGTCCTCTTGAGCTCTCAGCACCACTTTCTTTCCTGGAAATGTAGCTAGGCTTGCTCAGTACCCCTTTGCCTGTGTTTTCTCCTTGGCTTCCATCTGTCCTGCCTGTCAGACATCAAGGCACATCTTTACTGAAGATTCAGAGTGCTCTCAGAAGAGAATTACAGCACGGGAAGGACAAAGGTGCAAACAAAGGTAGTTAACTTGATCTTTTTCTTAGTCCTCCTCAGAGAAGTTACTTCAAAGTTTACTCTTGGAAAGTAGGTGAGTGCTGTGTGTCCTCTTCACTCTTGATCTGGTTTCCTTCCTCTAATTTATAGACCAGCTCATATGAAGAACCCAACCAGCTGGTCCCTCCACCAGAAGAAACTCGCCTCCCACTTTCCACCATCAGAAAAACTACACACACTTGGTAAAAGCACACAGTCACCAAGTTTCCTCTGTAAATCCCAGAACAAAACAGTAGAATGTGATGCTGTAAAGCAGGGCTTGTAATAAAACTGTGTTCAAGTCCCACTCTGCCACTTACTATCTGGAATCCTCGATTTTTCTCATCAATAAAATGGAAATTATACTACTTACTGCATATCGTTTAACTGAAACTTAAATAAGCTCATAAATGGAAAACAGTTAGCACAGAGCCTGGCACACAATTAGCCTTCAATAAAGCATAGTTATTCTATTATTCCAAACAGTGCTCTGACATTCATTTCTGTCTAACAAGATTCTAGGAGAAAAAGGACGCTGAAAATAAAAATGGCTCCTCAGATTTTAGTTCATAAACAGATATATGGACCCAATGTTTTTCTTATATGATATTCGGTTAAGCAATTATGCCATCAAAACATTACTTTTGCTCTTAGTTATACTCTCCTTGCAGTGTTGTGCTAGAGAAATGAGTTTCCCCATTAGCAGCTCCTGGTCTAGGTCTACAGGAGCAATGAATAGGGTGACTTTGTGTTCTTTTGCTCTATCTGGGGCCTGAATCATTAGCACCAACAAACAAAATATTCCAGCATACTATCAGAATACCACTTCAGCATTTACTGGTTCTTCTCATTTTTCAAGGAATGGCTCTGATTCTCACTATTTTTATTCAGAATCTCTTCATGATGAAAGGAAATGTAAGGAGGTGACATTCGCCATGTGACTGGTTTGCATTTCTTCCTCTACCAGTTCTTGGCTACTGACTCTTTATCCCAACCCCTACTCTTGGAGTCTTCATGGCTTCTACCTCCTATATCACTCATGGATGATTCTGCCAAACTGATACCTGGGTTTAACTTTCAGATTATGGCTCTATAACCTCCCACACTAGCCAAATTTTTTAGAGGAGCCATTAGGCTTCTGGATTCCTCCTCAAAAGGATGTTTAGGTTTGGGGCATTGGGTTAGCCTTGCCCAATTTCTGGCAAAGAAAATAGTTCTAAGCTCCTGTTAGACCTCAAGAGAGAACCCCAGAGGTTTTCCTCAACCACGGGGCCAACACAGATTTCTTAAATCTGCACAAGATATGGCTCCAGTCTCATCCTAGACTGGCTCTTCAGCTGAGCCTCTTTCCACCCTTAGAGTGATCCACTGTAGGGATTGATAAAACAGAACTGAATAGGGAGCATAAGGGTGGCTGATTTGGCAGATGGGGCACAGGATAACCCTAATGAATTTTAAGAACTTGTTTGTTACTATGTCTACCAGCCAAGATTCTCCTTATTTAAGAACCTAACAAACACACATACTGACAAGAATTGGTAAAATATTCTGGGATACTATAATTTATTACAAAGGCCATCACTCTGAGGTGTGAAATTTATGTACGCCTGTATTTTTCAGGGTCAGGTCTGAGTCACTGGATGGATACAGTCACCTTAGAATTCCACTGTTCTTTCATCCCTAATATCATCAGAAGACTCCCAGTAATATTAATTGGAAGTGACAAATATCTATAAATTTATAAATTCTTCATATGTACAGAGTATTTTACAGTTTACAAATTGCTTCTATGCACAATACCTTATTTGAGCCACACATAGAAAATCCCTGTGTGGGGGTGTTAATGTCCCCATTTTTCAGGCGAAGACAGTTTTAAATTGATTTTTGTGATTTACCCAAGATCATTCAGAAATGGAAAATTCACCCCTTGTCTCTGATTATATATCTGCTGCTTACAGTAGGCTTTTAACTAGGCATATTAAAAATACAGTTTTTTAATTAAGAAGTGGAATCAATTAAAAGAATATCAATTAGTGAGATCAGTTTTTACATTCTTACATGTCAGTACCACAGTTTTTGGGTTTATTACTTGATTTCTTCATTATTTCATACCTATGAGGCTGTTCAGTACTCTCATTAGTATCTTATCCAAGTCCAATGATTTGTGAATATTGAACTTAAAAGAAATATCCCCTTACCTGACTTTAAATCAATAGCAGCGCTGTCTCACTTTTCTTATTATTTCCCAAGTGTCCATATTCTATCTCTTTATTTTTCTAGTTAAAAACCAATTTAGAAAGCATTCAGTAACTCTGCTGTTATAGAACTCTTGTTGTAATAAAATTAATAATTTAAATTTGTTGGCATCTAATGCTGGAAGTCCTCAGGGCACCTTAATGAAAATAGAAAATGATACCAATGCTGCATCATGCCCTGATGACTACCCCAGAGTGAGATTGGGCAAATGATTGCAAAAAGCATAATTCCAAATTAAAATTAAAAACAACAAGCACATAAGAAAGGCATTAGCTTTACTCTGAAGAGTAATGGATTTCAGGTCTCTAGCTACAGATGACGGATGTAAGGGAAGGGAAAACATCATCTGGTACTCTAAGGCTATATGCTGTTAAAATGTTAAGCCTTTACTGGGCCTTAGAAAATATCTAGTTTGGCCTCTTCAAATTTATCACCAAGAAACTGAGACACTTTTAGGTGAAATGATATTATTAAAGTTCCACAGCTAATTAGAGAAGACTTGACTGGTACCCAAGCCACCTTACATCAAGCCAGGCAGTTTCCCACTATTCTGTGCTACTCCTAGTCTGCTTCCAGCATACTGTTGATCTACTAATTTCAGAAAGCTAGAAATAACTGTCCTGAGCAACCAATATATAAAGTAGAAAGAGAGCGGGGTGTGACTAGGGTGATACAAACAAAGGAAGTGAGGCACTCGTCTCAAGTGCAACCTGTAAAGGGTGGGGGGGTGGGTAAAAACTCAGTAATGAGGACAAATAATATTCTAATGCAACATTTTTTAAATCAGGCAAAATTAATGCAAAACAACCATTTTGCATTTTTTACCCCCTTAACTTGCATCCAAGGCAAGTGCCTCTTTACATTTCCAGTTTCACTTGCTTCATTCCATCATCAGTTTTGGAAATGATTTTCCTTTTTTTATGCCCCCCACATGCTAATGCCTTGTTGTTGAAACCAGTGCTTTATTACTGAAACTCTACAGAGTAAGCTGCCCCTCCTTTTTTTTTTAAACAGGGGCCAGAAATTTACTGAGGTTTGAAGGCACTCATCGTGTGCTGATATTAAAATATGTCCATGCATTCTTCTCTTCAAAAAGTGCAACCTAATGTCTCCCTCCTACAGTGTAGGCTGTACTTACTGACTACCTTCTAGTTAATAGAATGTGGCAGAAGTAACAATGCATGATTTTTGGGACAAAGCCATAAAAGGCATTGAGGCTTCTTCCTCGCTCTCTCTTAGATCACTTGCTCAGGAGAAAGCCAACTGCCTTGTCATGAAGACACCCAAGGAGCACCATGGAGAAGTTCACATGGTGAGAAACTGAGGCCTCCCACCAACAGCCACGTGAATGAGCCATTATAGAAGAAAATTCTTTAGCCCCAGTCAAGTTTTCAGTTTATGGCAATGCTTGCAAACACCTTGGCTGCAGCATCATGAGAGACCTGAGTCAGTCCATCCAACTGGAACGTTTCTGAATTATTCATCCACAGAATCTGCAAGAGAATAAATGTTTGTTGCTTTATGTAACAGAACTTGGGGGTAATTTCTTATGGTACAATAGATAACTAATACAGTGTGTTCCACATTATGATCATGACTTTCATCTGGGGAAAATGTAGACCAGTAAGATACTGAAATTGAAGTGCCTGAGCAATACTTGGCATAATCTTGTCTAGTGATTCCCAAACACTGTACTAAAATTATGATTTTGAAATAGACGTAAATTTTATTACAATCCTAGTTTAATCCAGGAAGTAAACACCATCATTGAGCAATAGTTAATCCAACTTTTCACTTAAAACTCATTGGCTGTATGCTACTACCAATAGGAGCTTGTGGTCCACAAGAACTCACAAATGGTGCTGTTATGAGTTGACAAAACTTTATTCCAAAACTAGGAGACATGCATAAAATTGGAAAGAAACCACTCCAACTCAAACTTCAAACAGTAATTGCACACGTTGAACTTACCTTAAATACCTCTATCAGTATATATCTGAGTCCATAGTCATACACTTCTTTAAATCTACCTAAAGAGAATGATTTCATTCAGTGAGTCTTTGTTTCAAGTAGAACAGTGTTATGTTGCTTCGCTTAATTTTATCTTCCTAAATTATTTTAATTCCAAAGTACCATTTACCCTACAGGATGATTAAGGAAACTTCGTAAGTACTGATCTGAAGCTTGGAAAATTGATGTCTATCTAAGTCACTAACAAGTACAAACATCTTGTTATACGTTATCTGTGATCTCTCCTCTCTTCCCATGACCCATGAGACTACGTACTGAAATCTAACCACATACTAAGTTATTAGAATCTATTAACATTTTAGGTCAAATTAACTCATCATGAAAACAGTTAACAAACATTGGACTAACTCTTGACAAAGAGGGAAAAGAGGCAAAAAACTGACCCTCCTACTGTCACTGGGGAATGCAGCCTGAGGAGTGACTTCTGATGCATGCATGCAGGCAGGGCTGAAGCAGTCTTGGATGAAAGGAAAGTGCTTAGTTTGGGAGGTCGGGTGAGAACCGCTTCATTTTCTTTCTAATAAAGAGGATACCTAAAGAAAACATTCTAAAGTACTTAAATCCAACTGTATTTAGTTCTGTATGTAATTCTGTATCTTTCTATCTGAACAACTTTCCTCTTAATATTCTTATTCACCTAAAACCTATGTTACAGTATTATCTTTGATTATTCTAAAAGATAATTGATATACCTGGCTTTTATTCCTATTATTTGGTTTTAGCTTACTTAAATTATTTTAGATTTTGGTTTTAATTTTATTAAACAATATTAAATCACCCTGATGACTTTTTTCTTTCCTTTTCAGAGTTTTTTCCTAAAGATCCCATAATATTTTATATGATGAGTAAGTCACTTTTTCAAAAAACTTGGGTGTAGTTTATATACAGTGAAAACCAGGGATTTTCGGTGTAGATAGAGTTAGATGAAATTTGACAGATCTCATAGGTTAAATAAGCTGCTATGACCAATACCCTTGATATGGTTTGGCTCTATGTCACCACCCAAATCTCATCTTGAATTGTAATCTCCATGTGTTGGAGGAGGGGCCTGGTGGGAGGTGATTGGATCCTGGGGGAAGATTTTCCCTTGCTGTTCTCATGACAGTGAGTGAATTCTCATGAGATCTGATGGTTAAAAAGTATAGCACTTGGCCTTGTGTTCTCTTTCCCTTTTTCCTGCTGCCATGTAATACAAGTCTTGCTTCCTCTTCCTCCTCTTCCATGATTGTAAGTTTCCTGAGGCCCCTCCAGTCGCAGTGGAACTGTGAATCAATTAAACCTTTTCTCTTTATAAATTACCCAGTCTCAGTTAGTTCTTATAAAAGTGTGAAAATGGACCAATACAAACCTTATGAAGATAGAAAACATTTTCATTACCCTAGAATATTTGCTACTGCTTCCTTCTCAGTCAGTTCTTACGTCACAACCCCATACTGAGACAACTCTTATTCTGGTTTCTAACAACATCAATTAGCTGCACCTATTCTATAACTTCATATAAAGCAAACGTATAGTATGTCATTATTTGTGTCTTATTTTCTTCCTCATGCTTTTGAGATTCACCTATGTAATTGTAACAGTAGTTCAGTCTTTGTATAGCCAGGTTAACGTTCCATTGAATGAATATACCACCCTTTATATATACACTCTGTTGCTATTCTGAATAAAGCTGCTATGAATATTTTGACACAATTTTTTGCATGGACACATATTTTTACTTACCTTTTATAATTATAACATAACTAGAAGTAGTATTGATAGTTCATGGAATAGATAGAAATTTACCTTTATAAGAAACTGTCAAACACACTATTCCTAACTAGTTGTGTTGTTTTCCACTCTCACTACCAACATGTAAGTGTTATAGTTGCTTTGCAAAACAGAAAGCTGTTATTTTTTAAATGTTTAAATTAGTATTTTAAAAAGTGTCATAGCAGTTTGGGAAAACTCATAGAAAGAGAAAATACTGTTACAGCTTTTGATAGACTAGTCACTTTATTAGGAAAATCATTATTTTGTAATTTGAAACAACTGGAGAGGGGAAATACTACAGGATAGAATAATTGGCAAATTGTGTTCTGTAAAGAAGATTAGAGAGAAAACATTTGACCTAAGTGGTTGAAAATCTCTAAATAAGTCAATGCATCTTATTTTCTCTTGGAAAAATTATGGAGAATGGCCGGCCATAAGTACAATTTGCTATTGACTCAATTAGTCACATAGTTTTAGATATATTTCAGTTATGAAAAATGTGAAAAGTTAAAGAAAAAGATGGTAAGGATTTGAAGAAAATAGTACTGTAACCCTTAATACTCACTCTGAAAATATGCAGAAAGTCAATTAATCATTCAGATACTCTAGCTATTTGTAGTGTGTATTCTATTTATATATTCAGGAAATTAAGTAAAATATGTTTGTTTCCCTACTCTGTACTTTATGAAATATGCAAGGTTTTCACAAGACAAGGAGATACCCTGGCTTTTGTTTCCATTGAGTCAACAGACATTTGATTACCTGTTACCACTTTTGGGTTTTGAGTTACAAAAGTCTTGCCTGCTTTCTTGTTCAGATAATTGTGATGATGTGATTTTAAACAACGTGATGCTTGGAAAATGCTTCATTATTGAAGAAAGATCACATCCTTAAAAATGGGAGTCGTTGCAGTTCTTATTAAGAGAATACTCCAAGAGTACTTAGCTGCCCTCTAGCTAAGAAAATGCAAGTTTCTGTATATAGCTTTCTCTTTTTTTAATAATAATAAAACATAGAATTGAAAAGAAAAAGGGTTTATAGGGAAACAGCCTTATATGAACACTTTAATTATTGAACATTGAAAGGTAAAGGTTAAAGTATTACATCTATTTTTCATTTGCCCTTGCAATATTAGACACTGACTAATGTGTTAAAACAGGACAAAAGGAAAACTAAAGATAAATAAAGAAAGTGACAGAGGCTTTGCAGCTGCAGGAGTCTGCAAGATATGGGCATTCATGAGCTGTGTTGATCAAGTAGAAGAAATGAGTAAAACCAGGAAGAAATGAGAATGATGGATATTAAAGAAGATTAAACTAATTGGGCCACTCATTGGGTTTAGCGAAAAGTGTCAAGAAAAAGGACTGAAGAGCAATTATATTCATCCCGTAAGTAGGTAAATCAGAAATGTGTGGGATTAAGGTGGCCTGCTAATAAAGTGGGGGCAAGCATCAGGCAGACCTGGGAAGACACCATTCAGTCACTGTGCTCCTTCAACACTAATTTCTAGAAGCCATGGGAGCACACAAAAGGCAGGCATATCACAGCTCCCAAAGTAGTGGTTGCCTGAAACTGGAAAACTAAAACTAAATGGATGGTAAGGAGGGGAGAATGCAAGACTGATTACTAGTACATAAGCATTTTATCATAGGCACAAGGGAAGACAGACCAGATAGACCTTTGCAGTGACAGAGATAAAGAGGCGGAAGTTTGAAACATAGAAGTTTAACCACTGAGCTTATTTATGGCCTTGTACGTTCAAAGACACCACAATTTTGAGAAAGCAGCATTATATTTTATGGGTGTCATTTCTGAAGTGTCTATACACGGTGAAAGCAAAATAAACTGAAGTGAATATTGAGAGAAAAAAATTTAAATAGTAATAGCATGGGGTAGAGTTAATTTCAAGTGTGTATTTCCTCAAAGGAAAGTTCATGGCCTGGTATCAGAAAAACAAGTAAAAGTTGTGGTGTGAGTGAGCCTATACAGACGTATGTGTTATCCTTGGACTTTTCTCCATCCCACATCAAGAAAGTCTCTATTCTACATCAAGAAAGTCTCCATTCTATGAAGCTAAATATTACTATATCTAATCAATAAAATTAGTCTGACCCCTACTGAGATAAAAATATGTATTTATAGCATGGATTCTCTCTGAGTGTGCAATGAGGATTGATTAGGACACTGAGGAATCATGACATTTTCAAGTCCAGAACTCACTGGGAGAGCTCAAGACTGACCATGAGCAGTCAATATTGGGACTGGTAGGCTTTCTGCTTTGGACCATGCCCCTGGTCTTGCTCATAGGTAAAATTATACTGGGCAAAGTTCTCCATTAATCTACATTCAGAACACGATCTACAGAATTGTTTATATTGGAGAAAAAACAGTTAAATATTTGTCAGTGTAGAGAACACCCAGAAACTCAAAATCCAAATCTTTTAAATTCTTCTTTGCGCATGGTTAGATGAGGAAGAAAAAGAAATTTTCGGTGGAAACAAATCTAGCTAGGTAGCTGAGTCAGGCTGTGTCGTGTGGGTGCTAGATAGGGAGAGGATGAGTCAAAGGCCATGTGTGACTTGTGAGGGCAGCTGGAAATGTCACTAAGTCACAGGGAGCTCTGTCTGAGCCCCCAGCTGAGAATCAGAACCTTTCATCTGCAGGTTGTTTGGCCCATTTAGACTTCTATTTGCACGGCAGTTACACATAATGAATTTTTCTTGTTGACTGAGGGGAATGAAGTGCAATTGAGAGCATGGGATAATATTTTGCCATTGCCCAGCCTCTGGGCTTGGAGACAGTGACCTGATATGGAGAGATACAATGGTAGATGGTTCTGAAACTCTTCGAGAGTTTCTCAGCTTTGAGATACACTCAGAGAGTTCACAGCTGGGAGCAGAAGGTGTAACATGCCAGCACAATATCTATTAACCAGGACTAACCTTGGGAACCTCCACCCTAGAGACAGACGGCCAATTTAGGGGCATACTTACAGTTCCCTTGAGTTCTTGAGAAATATTTGGGAAGAGGAAAAGAAAGACATATTTGTTTCTATAGTTATGAAGATTGGGGTATACCAGAGCAGAAACATTTGTCAATTAATGGCAAATTATTTCCAGCAATGAGCCATAGCTACCTACGGTAATGGCCTATTTCCAAAATAAATTGTTGATGGTTTTGGTGTGGTTTGTAATATCCATAGAATGGATGTGAGAGTCAGTGGTCTGGGTTTTAGACTAAGTCTTGGTGCAACTCTGAGCAAGGCATTTCAGTTCTCTGGACACCATGTTTCTTGTCTACCTCTCATCCAGTTAGAACAGAGAAACTCTAAAGTCCACTTCATTTTTACATTCATTCAGCTTTCAATGTCTCCAGATTTAGCATATACTGTATATGGAAGCCAACTCAGCTAATGGGATATTTTCCTAGAGAATGGTCCCTTCTATAAATAACTCTTTACTCATGTCATATGTCACACTGACCCACGTTCAGCCACACATGTATCTTTAAAAATAGGTTGAAGTAAGCTACATACTGCAGGCCACATTTGCTTTAAGGTCTCAGGCTACAGAATCACTTTAGATCCCATTTGACACTGTTGCTAAGAGAAGAGACAGCAGGCATTACACTCCCACGCCTCCCCTACCACTTCGTTTTTTACATTTTTATTATGTTACTATTTTTATGTATTTCATAAAGAAAATATATACTCTATAATAAAATATATTTATATTATAAAATAATATAAAAATATTATGATTCATTTTTATTTT